GGTTACTCACACATTTACAATTGTATGAAACTTAGTATCTGTGCCTTCTTCACTCATATATATGACTAGATGGCGTGCGTGTGGTCGAGTCGCGTGCGCGTTGTAACCGGAGCGACACACGCAGTAATCCAATATGGCGGCGATGTCTCTCGCGTATCGGTACATAGCCGGAATGGCATTTTAATACCTCGCCGTTAATGTCACTTATTGTTTACTTAGTTCAATGAGCGAATGTAAGGAAACCGCAGAGCTTTCGCACGAATAAATCTGTATGATTAAAGAGAGATAACTAGACTGTACAAGTAGGTACTTACCTACTTAGACTCTACAGATATTATAAAGAGGAGATGTATAAAAGTAAGCTGTTAGTTTATTAATAGTTTGGAAATAACTTAAGTACCTTATTAAGTAGTGTGTTCAATTCGCAACCCATTTATCTCCAGATAAAATGGTCTTAGCTGCGCCTAAAACGTTTTTTAATAAGTATAAAACTAGGTAAGTTTTCATCTAACTTCAGAGCCAGCCAGACTTGAAAAGCACATGTTCTTACTAAAGTTGATCAAATTATGCTTAAAAAGGTAAACAAAACTATATACCCACCAAATAATGTCCAAGTTACAAAATCGACAATTCTAGGCATAGGCGATCGCGAAGCTCATAACTCACGGGGAGCTTATAATGTAAACAAAAGAAGATCGGTCTCAGTGATTTTCGCGCGCACCTCGCACAATGGTGTGAAAGCTGGCGCGGTGCGGCAACAATGCGTCGTTGCCATATCGGCGCGCGCGCATCGGCGGTGGCTCGTTAGCTGGGGGCGGTTGTTGGCAGCCTGGACTGGATCTTCCCAAGACCTTCGTGATGGACTGGGAACAACATGAGTAAAGAAGGCACAGAGGCAAAGCTTCATGCAGTTACGCGTGTGTGAGTGATCACTGGGGGCCGGTCGAGCCCAATCGAAACGTTTTCTTGCGTACGCAAACCGTCAGTGCAGTCCCATAGGCGCAATTGTATGAAGTTAGTCTTACGTGAACGAAGAAGTGCTTACTTTACTCGTGTGCTGTACTGCTTACCGCGAAATTCATTCAACTTCATGGCTTTGTGATGGATTCAATCATATTCATGTTCATTTCAGCGTATAATATCGCATTTGGATTGTTTACGTATAAAGAGTGCACGCTAGGCTTTCTGGCATTTGGCTACCAAAATTACCATTCGATCAAATACACTGTGACATTTAAGAAACAATAATCAGATCAATAATAACAAAAATAACCTAATGCTAGGTACTGAATAGAGTCACTGTTGCATTGCGTAAGCAAATGTATTGAAAAAATAGAAGCATATCGACACATTTATATTGTACAAATATGATCGAAGTGTTTTATCCATTTATTTATACATTTCGCATAAAACAGTAATTTAGTTTGCCGTGATAACGTCGTCGCCATCGTCAGCATTGTAAAAGCTTTCATATCAATTGAATCCATTAGCTGAGTACACAAATCCAGTCTGTATATTTGCTCATCAGTTTTTATCATTGGCTAGTCCATTTTTGTCCGATCGGTCACTTCCACGTTATTGATAGGGAGTTCCTTTTTCGCAAACATGGCTTTTGTCTTTTTTATCATCTGAAAGCTTCCAGTCAACCTTCTCGATATCCGTAGACATTGTTTTGCAAAGTGTTGCCATTGTATTTTCGGTAGTTTCTCATATATTTGAATATGTCTGTTTTTTCAACAAATGTACTCTAAGGAACCAGTTATTATTATAATAAGAGCTATATTAAATAAAAGACCATCACAAATCGTGCAGTGAAAAAAGTTTCCAATGCACTGTAAGTACTGATGCCATGCCCTTTACAGAACCCCATAAACAAACCGTATCTACCCTCGTGCCATTTGTCCATTGACCAGCACTTAGCTTAACAAAAACTGATAGTTGTAAAATAAAGAAGAACAAAACAGTAACAAGAGCGGGCCATTTCGGTCAGAAATAAACTAAGCGGTAAGAATTAACAAGGATAAAGGCTTAAAAGAGTAGCCGCAGTAGATTTATGTCGCGATGATCGCAATCGACTCGATTCCCCTTGTAACGGCTGGTTTATTTTTTCGATTCGTATGGAATGTCGAGGTGTGGTATTGAAAAGCAACGCTTCAACTGTAGAGTTAAAAACTACGTAAAAAGTAATATTATAGTCGTGGCAAAAATGGTATTAGGCACTCATACGAATATTTTTCAAGAGATAAAAATGTCACTGACGTCATCTTTAAAATTCAGGTGAGATAAACGTGAATCACCCACCACTGATGTGATACCACAAAACTTCTCCTATAAGCTATCTGTGAAACTAAATCTTCAAACGCACTTGAAAAGGTACAATATGACAGCCATTTCCCATTCATTGCTACTCTATTTACAGGAACGAATCGACAGCGTTTTATGGGAAAGGTCTTTCACACAACCCTTTTCGCGGTTATCTGATAACGCAGTGAATGGGCGACACATTTGTCTGTCACCCACTGTGCACTAGTGTAAAAATTGTCAGCGAATGTTCCCAGATAGTGATCTGCCATTTGGAGCACAGGGGGAAAATCTATGTTTACTTTGTGGCCGCAACTACGCACATCGCGACGCTTGTGCAAGTGTTTGTTACTAATGAAAATTTTCAGGTAAAATTACTCATAATTTTGAAGATATAGGAGCAAGCGTACTCAACGTGAACATGAAGCTTTAATATAAGAAGGTGCAAGTCGCTGCAAGAAAAAAAAATCTTGTGGTCACGTACAGGGAAGGCGATGTTTATATCGTTTTGTAAGGACGAATGAAATGGACGGAATAAAATTCATACCTCCACATGTAACACCTATCAATTGAGCCGAAGCAAACCAGACGAGTGATTGCTGTAATTTCTTTAAAAAAATCAACGGTATAGTTCACCAGACACAACACAATTCAAAAAAATGTTTCATCAAAAATAATTTTATTATCGTAATAACAAAATTACGGGTTACGTTTATATGCGAATTCCACTCTTAATCTCTTTAGTTTAGAGTGTTATTCCATCACGATTCTGTTATATACGGGGGGAGAAATGGAACCTTTTGTTAGCCTATAGCGTTATTATTTCTCATTTTGTTTTGTTTATTAATACAATTGGCTGGAGGCGCAATATTGATATTCAAGTTTGATGATGACTTGGGCCTGGAGTTTCCTCCCCGGCTCATTTGTATTTCAATGTGCCTACTTTTACGTCTATTTTGTTTAACAAAAAAAATATTTACGTCATTTGTGTTAAAATTTGCATCATACACAATAATGTTTTAAGTGTTTAGTTTTCGCTATTTGCAATTGTTGTTTGTACTAGCTAATTTGTATTAGGTATCAAAACTGCCATAGTGCACGAACAAGATGAGAAACTTACGGGGAAAATGGAATGACGTGTATAAATAACTTGCAGAAATATCAATTAAACAATTATGCTGTCCGAATGGAATCGTGTGTAATGATAGTGGGCCGGCCCATAACTCAGGCGCATCTGTTCTACGGCTATTTGCAAACGCACGACATGAGTGTAGCAAGTTCAAGTCGCGAGCGACTGAACCTGTCTCCCGTGAAGTACCTATTTAATGTAAGCACTGTAAGCTTTATGACATACCATAATATAACCAATAAATATGTAAAAAGTACTTCAAATCCTGCATTGAAATGTCGCAGTAATGAACCAACCTCCATAACACTACACTTTGTAATTTGTAACTGTAATTTGAATGACACGAGGGAATTTATTTACGATACAGCTCCCGAGAACGTTTTGCTCCAGTAAAGACTGATCGTAAATAATTATTACAACAAAACTGCTATTTACTGTCAATTTTAAAATTTCAATAATTTTGCGTAATTACGTAATATGTAAGCAATATAATGTGATGCAAATGTAACGTACATAGTTCCACCGGCTCGATGCATACAAGCGCTTCTAAATTGTATGCTAAAGATACGTGATCTAGGATGCTAAGAGTAACTAATCAAAGCTGCTTATAGGTCCGATTACGGAGAAGAGATTCTGAGAGATGTCGATTAATATTGATTATCACATTTACGTTATCAAGATTCTTGCTAACAGTGATACCGAAGTGTATAACGTACGATAAACTCGTATATAAATCTGGATTATGGATTTGTCTTCCTGGAACATAAGGTAGTGTGTCTAATTTATAAGAAACACGCCGATAATTTATAACAGTTAAAGTATACAATCCGCTATTATCTTGATCCTTAATGTTAAATATACCGTTTGGTGGCTTAACAAGAGGTAACTATGGTCCTGCCTTACAAATACGGTCATGTACGGCAAACCTGCCTTTCCGTTTGTACTCGATATATTGTAACTTCTCAATAAATTATAACAAAGGCATATTTATTGTACTACGAGAAGCTGTGCTCACTGAAAAGGGAACTAGCAAAAGTAATTAGATTTTTTAAATTTGCAATCATCATCATAATATCGTACAATAAGTAATTAACCAAAAAACTATTGTTTGTATTTTCCGATACTATTCAAAAAAATATGGATACACCAGTGTTTTGTTTCTGTCAATAAGCCCCTAGGTTCCAGGGCTCCACGAGGCCACGAGGTGGACTTGGTTCAGTTAAGCAACGTGTGTATAATACTGTCAATATATTGCTCACTTATAATCAGGCGGGCAATATGCTTGCTTGCCACCCATTTCAAAAGAAAAATCAAAAATCACTTGAAATCTTATTTCCAATCTTATAAAAAATAATTGACGTATTTGAATATTTGAGTCGTAAATACTTAAATAAATTTATTTCATTAAGGTAGCATTTCGATGTCGTCGATTGTTACAAACGACCACGACTGCATGCGAGTTAAGTAATTATAGTATAGTAGTTTATTTGTCTGTGGTTTTGATAAAGAAGTATGCTGCTACCTATACCATCTGTTAAGTGGATTAATAGATTTCAATTCTACGACTCACCTTTTTCATAGCTGATCTGTCTTTCCTGCTGTCGAGCGTTATCGGCGGCGACCTTCAGCAGGCCCTGGATGTTCCGCAGTAGGGTTTCTGTAGAGGACACCAGGGTGTCCGCTGTGGGGTCCACCGGCACTGAAGGCGGAGTGGATGTGGGCTGCGCGTAGCTCACCGGCGCTGGCGATGACGACGCCGGCAGCTCACGCTCGCCGTCGCTTAAGTCCGCACCTTAATGAAAGAATGATACGGTTAGTAACAAATGAATAGAAGTCGCTCAAGTCTTCTGGATCTGGATCCAAGAAGAATGGCGAGGTTAGAAAGAAATAAATATACTTAGTTAGAAAGAAATAAATATAAATATACTATACTTGGTTAGAATTACATACGCTCTGATATGGAATAAGCTGGGGCGGTAGCATTGAGTAAACAATGCAATAAAGATTTAATTGCATCCGAGGCAATAGAAAAGATCTGGAAGTTCAGTGAAAAAACACTATGAAAGGGCTGAAGTAAGTTGCTTATAAAAAAAATACATAAAAAAATTTTTGAACGATTTTATTAAAAAATCAGCAAAAATATGAAGGAAAGGTCCTAAAAACCAAAAATAAACCTACGTCCTAGGTCTACTAGTCATGACACCATCTAAACACTACTCTCCTCATCTCATATTTTTCATTGTACCTTGAAGTGTTTTTGACAATATATAGGTTTTTAAATTCTTATTTTAACAAATCTTTTCCTAATGCATCGAACTAGTAAATTAGAAATTAGTTTCAGTCATTCATTATAAAATATTGAAACATCGGCTTCTTAAACAGATATTAATAAAATTCTGATTAATCATAGGTAATTTAACGACTGACTCAAACATGGTCGTCGCTATACAAGTAAATTATGAATTTATCATATTATAAATCATTGATATCATGGCAATAACAGCTTCATAAGAAGCCCTATAAGGTATGCATTATATAAGACCAAAAAGTGCGACATGGACAAACATCGATATTCGAGGATCGCGTGCGTGTATCATTGGTATCGCAATTATTATTGCACCGAACATCGATATCGCGTGGCGACCATGGCAAAGAGCTATGATGGACTCTGCCGTATCTCATTCGCTATTCAGAGAGATTTGAACAATAAACTTTAATTTGTAACGTAAATACAAACGACGAGTACTAATCCTGTCAACATCATTTAACTGAGTCTATTTAGTAAATCTTATCTTTAAGCTCAATTTACAGATTTACTCTCTTAAGTAGTAGTCAGTCAGAGTAATCAGGTATGAGTACTAAATCATGAGGTATTCTAAAATTTACAGAAGTTCTACTAAAGCACTATGTCGCTGGATTTGTATTAAACTTTTTGGATGGAATCGCTAAAGAAAACTCATTCCGCGGCCTTCTATTTTCATTCATTTTACTGGGCACCGCCGTTCGTAGTTAGTGTTTTTCCATATAGCTTGAATCTCATCTAAAAGCTACATGTTCCATTACGTGAAAACCACACTTTAGCATAGTTGCTAAACTTTTTAAGCTAAAGATTGACCAGGTTTCTCTAGTGAGAAACCTGGTCAATCTTTGTACTCGACATTTAAGTACAACGACATGCAGTCGGAATAAGGACTCTGGCAAAGTCATTCGACACCGAATGGGCTGTCTCTAACCGATTTATACGGCTCGCTGCATTATGCCTCAAGTTATTCCTTTTGCTTACGGTTCAGCCCCACTACACCACGTTGCTTCACATCGATTATTTTATAATTACCTAGTTGGTATTCCGCACAAAGTCATTTAGGCGGTAAATCTCCACACAATGATACACACATAAATGCACTTAATTTTAATCACCACTAAATATTTACGGTTACTTTAATGTACACGAGGAAACTCAATAAGAAAATTATTATTTTCAAACCTGACGAGATAATTACAATAATGTACCAACATGCTGTGTCAATAACGGACCTTACACACAAAAAAGAAAGTGATTCGATTGGCGTCTCTCACGGTCCAATGTAATCTATCGATACATTTAATTTAGCTGACAAGAAGTGAGCGCTCATCAAATAATGAAGACAACATCGTTTCGTCATTGTCGATGCTCACGATACCACTCTCGGGTTGTCACAACACCATCTTCCTAATAAGGCCAATTAACAGGATATATCTCCGTCGAATCAAACGAACTCAAACTCTATTTTGATCACAGAGCATACATAATCGTAAATCGTTCCGCTACAGTTTGGAATTAAGTCATTTCAAAACTGAGAACGCTGATTGAAAGAAAAAGGTAATTCAGATAGACAAAGATCAAAGTTGAATGATACAATCGAGCCAACGTGAAAAAAAAACATTAAGAGCAAACGTGACACACGTAAATTACACATCAGCAAAATTAATCATATCTTCGATAATGTTTATGAAATGTTCATCGAATAAATTCTCTAAAATGGTACGTGCTCGTTTGTTAATGCATTTATTTAAGTCCGCTCATAGATTTCGTCATCACCTAAGTCATTTATTGCACAAATTTCCCGGGGCTCATCCCGTAAAATCGTGGCTAAGTGAACATTTTCTATAATCGTCGACAGGCATCCGTTCCCACGCTCTCTGAGCATTTTGTGTGTAACCTGCAATAACCACAATACACAATCCTTATTGTTTCACTTAATTTAGCTATTGTATGCCCAGCGTATTTACATTTCTGGATCACTGTTTTGACTTACGTCGTCGCTTAGCCGGCTGCTTAGATTCACTAATAATGGATTAACAATTCATACGAAAGCTCGAAGCTGTCACTGACAATTGTTTGGTTACATACGAGTACTACAAACTAACTTTCTTATACTATTACTATTGAATAGAGTATTTGATAACTTTATGATTTTCTCATTTAACTTGTATCAAACAGCTATAATTGCGTTTACAAGATAGTGACGTCTCGGTCCAATAACAAGTTTTCCCTTGATTGATGATGCACACGAAGATAGCACTAAATTGATTAAACTATTTAATACGGCAATAGATTCAATGAGTAAAAAGCTGCAGATAAAACGAATGTTACAACATTGGAGTAGAAATTGTCAAGCGATCCATCATTTTACTAATAGTCTTAACAGGCTGCTTGGTATACCCGTCTGTTATTTTATAGATTGAGGTTTTGTCGTTTCTCTTTGATATTGAATTGGTTGCGTTTAACAAAAATAACCTTAATGCGCAGTTTTCTAGGCTCACGTGTAAAATTGAATTGAGTCCTTTTAAGTGCTATTCATACAACATTGAGGGCAATTGCGGGCGATACTCGTAATAAGATTTTATTATATAGGACCATTATAGGCAAACGTGCGGTGTCTTAGGATCAAGAGCGCAGATCGTATGGGAACGCAGGCGCAGTCATTCACTAATCGTCTCCGCACTCTCACACACGACTTGCTTTAATAAATCTCAAGATGCCACAAAGCAATGCACAGTTTACAGAGCTATCGTGTACCTTTGTTTATATGATAGGATTTGAATTCTCATCCGCTATCCGTTGTTAAATAATTAACATAAGATGAATGTCGACTTACACTGTATCGAGGAGTAGCTATTTTACACTGATTATAATAATAAGTGTTTCCAGTTTCTAAAATAAAAGGAGCGTGGCTTTATGGCTGATAATTTCCGAACTATGAATGCTGAAGGTTCCAGGGTTATTACTGGGCAATTTTGCCGTGCATTACATGGCAGTATATTGAACCGGTGGTATCACTAGCTTGTGTTAATGGTACACGGACACTTTCCTGTTATGCCCCACCGTGATTGCCTCCGATGCCCGGACGACTTATTAACAACGGGACATTTATGCGAAACTTATATAAACCAGCACAATTTTATCTATTAGCAATTAGATTCGGTGTGTGATTGTTTTGTTGATCATTGTTTAAAAAAATTAAAATAAGTACTCGTACAATTCAACTCGTATTTTTACATGATTTTTAACATATCGTGTTGATCAGTATGAACCAACTTAAATTCTGTTGAATAAATATTTCAATACACTTTTTTTTATTGAAATTGAAACAAGTCGTCTGAAATAAAAAAAAAATATTAATGATGGGTGATGGTAAGAATTCATAACAAAAGAAGATAAATAAGATCTTTAGAAATATGCACTTCTCCATCCGCATGCTCGTTTTGCCCGCTCGAACCGTAATACAAAAACGTGGATTCAAGTTAAATTTGAGTTAAAACTAATACTGTCTCTGTCTTCTTGAACCAACAAAAGTGGCGATATCATTTTAGAGTGGGTTTAACTAAGTCAACGGTTTTGACTGGGCAGGAGTAAAGGCAGCGCCTTTGACCTGTATTGATTTTGAAGGAAGCCTCATCATTTTTGACTTTTGACATTGTGGTCCTCCTGATAGGACAGCGCAGCGTCGCTGTCGTCGCTATGCGCTATTGGCAGTGCGGCATATATAGATAAAAAGCTTGCCATCATCTCCGTCTCTGACATTTAAGTCCACCTAATCTATTCGTCTCTAGTCTTCGCTTTGTGATCTTGGCGGGGCGACATATACCTATAGATAAAAAATTCACCATCATCGTCGTCTTTGATATTGTGGTCCTCTTGACAGGACAGCGCAGCATCGCTATGCGATCTTAGCGATACTACAGCGATGAGTCTGAAGGGCATTCGTGGCGCAACGAATTAGATGGGGAGGCTGAAAAAATTGATTTTATCTACTCACCATCACCTTCGTCTTGTCATTGTGGTCCTCCAGATCAGACAGCGCAGCGTCGCTGTCGTCGCTATGCGATCTTGGCGATGCTGAGGCGGTGGGTATCGAGGGCAAGCGAAGGGCCACAAATTAGATGGGGTGGCTTAAATATATAGATTTTATCTACTCACCATCATCTTCGTCTTTGACATTGTGGTCCTCCTGATCGGACAGCGCAGTGTCGCTGTCGTCATTATGCGATCTCGGCGACGCCGCGACGGTGGGTAATGAGGGCATACGGGGCAGCTGCGGCGGGCGCTTGGAGCCGGCGGAGCTGCGCCTGCTGGTCGAGCCCTCTCCCGGTCGCCGCGGTTCTGGTATTTCCGGTCGGGCCGGATATTATAGACAAAGATAAAAATCTCACCATCATCCTCATCTTTGACGTTGTGGTCGTCCTGATCGGACAGCGCAGCGTCACTGTCGTCGCTATGCGATCTTGGCGATGCTGCGGCGGTAGGTGCGGAAGGCATACGAGGCGGCTGCGGTGTGCGCCGGGAACCGGCGGAGCTACGCCCGCTGGCCGAGCCCTCTCCCCGGTCGCCGCGGTCCTGGTCTCTCCGGTCAGGCCGGTCGCGGTCACCGCCGGAGCCCGACTTCGATAGGTTCAGCACCGGACTGTGGCCGGGGGATGAACCTACGCAAAACGTTTATCATCAGCGCCGGACGCAGGGTGTTTGAAAAGTTATTAAGGACATGCTATTTGCAAGTGCCTATGTTCTTCACAAAGGGTGTTTATGTTTATCCACGTTTTCTTTTGTGTATTTTAGTAAAAACTGATTTCAGATTTTCTCTGGAATGTAACGAAGAATCATCTTCAGTGACCGTTCTAATTTTGGAGTAAAATAAATCTTATTCATTAAAAAAATATAATAACTGTGAAAGCAGAGAAATTTATATATTATTACGAAGTTCTTACCATTATGTGATCCCTCGCGCGCCTTGTCCATCGCCATAACTCGTTCCATGTCGCCTCGTTCGTCGCGCAATCTGCAACAATCAAATTGATTATCAATCATCACAATCTTACAGGAATCACCTGTCAGTCAATATGTAGTTAAGCCCCTCAAATGTTCAAAATCAGTCACGGCACCCAATCAGAACAATGCTACTGACATACAGTTTTATCATTTGAAACCATAAAGCATGCTTCCTACTGTGATATGGTGCTACCACAAAGGCAAAAGTATAATATTATAGATCCCCGCTGAGTTCCTTTGTGAACGGATGAAGACGGCGCATGTAATCATTTTGTGTGCCGATCTTTGGTACCGCTACCCTAATTCCGTAGGTTCTTTTTGATTGTAATATATTGGACTTTTGATGCTTCCGTTTGTATTCGTTTTTATTAATATTTGCTGATTAACTTTTTGTGTAAAATGAATATTCTTTCTAAAGATTATCTTTGTTAAATATCTTGGACTGTTTAAATATAACTGATGCATCTTTCGTTATTAAAAATGTATGCTTGTACAGTTTTTCGAGCGGAAGCTATCATAATTTATTATTTTGAAGTGAAAACTTCTTTAGTATCGTTGTGATTTGAGATTCGATGAAACGAAAGTAGAGTATTTGACACCAGATAGCCCAACACAACCAGTCTCTTGAGGTCGAGGTAAGTGGTCGGTGGTTCGATCCTGAGTTCTGATGTTTATTCAAAAATAATATAAAAATGAAGAGAAAAAGCCAGAGCTCAAGCACGCACTTTGACAGCTCCGTAATCGTATCGCATCGTCAAAGTTTCTATAAAAACTAAGCAGCGTCCCTACCAGACGTAAGATAAACTGGCTCCTTCCGTACAATATTTGACGATGACGATACGATTACGGATCTGTCAAAGTTCTTATTTGAGCCTCTGATTGACTGACTTATCATCGCCCAGCCTTAGTCTTGGACCTAAAGCGCAGGTGTTGTCTTTAAGACGTTCCTTGTGATAATGGACTTTTACGTGTGTATATTTTTGTAGGTTTCGTTTTTTCCATTTTTTTTATAATTAATGAACAGTCTTACGTTTTATCATTGACAAAAACAAAGAAAATCTTGGACTAGTTATGCAGTGTTTTGTTAAAATCACTCAAATGACAATCACAATAGTATTTAAATCTACTTTATTTTTCTAACTCTTAGTCCAACGTTCAGGATGTTATTAATGTCTAGTGAAAAAAAAACACAAATAGCAAACCGCCGCGGATACACTAAACGTCTCTATATCCTATTATGTTCAAATAAATGTAATTTTGGGTTAATTTTACCAACTACTCGAGTATAAAAAGTAGCAACGGATGAATTCGTTAAAGGAACCAATTTGGTTCATTTCAAAGGGGTTAATGCTACAATTTTTGCTCAGTAATGCCTTTCGAGCATTTGAATATAAATGACGTCTGAAAGTGAAATGTAACATACATAATAAGTGGCTGTTTTAAGCTTTCGCGAAACCCTTTTGTGGATTACAGAGTATTTGTGATTAGAGAGTGCATTTGTTACAAATTCAGTTTTTCTTTTAGCATGCCATATAAGAAGTATGTTTAAATGGACTAGATATAAAAGATAAATATAAGTTTGGAAATGTGTTTCAAATAATATATCATTTTTAATTGAAAAATTATTTTATTGTAATGTGCTGTATCTTGGAATCAATCAATTTGGCATTTTTCAATATATCATAATTGAAATAGACATTGTTTTATTGCACTGCTACGGGTACCACCCTGAACTATAAATAAATCGATAAAACATAATAACTAATACTAGTTTCTTTGTTATTGACATAGCTTTTGTGACATAGATTACTTTATTTGATTAAACATTTTACTGGTTTTTTTTTGCAAACACGTAAATAATGTAGTCTCTGTTCATACAGTGGTCTGTGCGGCCCCTCGCAACAGAGTCGTTTCGTCTTTACTGACGAGTCACGGGCTCGGTTTGAATTTAATATATTTTTCATTTCCGCACCCATTAATATGTAAATAATCCGTACCCTTGAAATCTTTTGATCGTGTGAATCTAGCAACTTTGAGAGTATTTTTTTTTTATTTCTTTATTTCCATTACTTTTTATGTTGGCTTAGATTAGATAAAATTATCACACCAGACACTTCACGAACAAACGAAATGAACGTTATTACAGTTCTTCTAATATATACTAATATGTATTATTAATGCAAAAGTTACTTTGCATATCTGTTTGTCTGTCTGTTAAAGCCTAACCGCAGAATCGATTTAATTATTTAGCAGAAAATACTTAGTACTTGCAGGACGGTAAAAAAGTTGATGAAACTTTGCATTTTAAAAAATTAAGTAACGAGTTTTAATTAAATTAATATACATTTAAAATAATTTCATAAAACTTTTGGTTCCTATAACCTATAAAACCCAAAAAGATCATCACTGATCGGTTGAAAGATAACACACAAATCAATGAAATAATAAATTAATACAACTTCCTTCGATGCCTTTTATCTTCTTAAGTGTTGGCATGATTGATGGTGTTTCAAATGCGGCACGAGAGAAAAAAATAATACGGCTTTATGATAATTGGACCCGAACTGAGACAGGATGTCTAAACTTACAAGTTTAGACATCCTTTTTTTGACATAGTAGTTAGTCCATTCAACCATTATATCCTACGAATTCCTACAATATCCATCATCATCATCAGCCTATTAATGTCCCCACTGCTGGGGCGCAGGCCTTCACTATGGATGGAATAGGGAGAATGGGCCATGACCCATCACGCGGGCCCAGTGCGGGATTGGCGGGTGCTAACGACTGCAGATGCAGCCGGGACCAACGGCTGGCTTAACGTGCCTTCCGAAGAACGGAGGAGCTCGATATAGTAAATTTTTCGTCACCTATCCAATGACCGACCACTGCGAAAGTTGCTTAACGCGAAAAGCCGAACGCGCTAAACACTTGCGCCATCGAGCTCTTTACAATATTATCTCTGTAATATAATAGGCAACCGTTATTGTCTGATCTATCAACGCACATCTCAAAGCTGACAGGTTCAAAGTTTGTGTGGAGCACCAAGATCGCGAGGTCAATCCTTTTACTAAATAAATATATGAATACCTGTTTTAGAGTTTTTCAAATATCAACCCTGTTAGGGGTAAAATGGGGTAACAAAGTCTTAAAAACAATATACTATAATTCCACCCATACGAATTCGCGGGTAAAAGCTAGTAAATGTACAAGTTTGTAACTTAATAACGCTAAAACGGCCGATTGAATTTGGATGAAATTTTGCACGCATATTGTTTAGTCCCTGAATTTAGATAAAGAATACTTACTTATTGTGTGAGAAAAAAAAGGTTCCTGTGGGATTCTCCAAAACGAACGCATTCGAAGTCGCGGGCGGAAGCTAATTATTGCATAGTACAAATGCGATCGTACAAATGATTAAGCAAATAATCAATTTTGTAAAAGAAAATATAATTAAATGTGTAGTCATTACACATTATTAAGACACATAAGTAATTAAGTGTAAGTAAGTTGATTATAGAGACTACATAATGAGGTATTACTTATAATATAAAGTTATATATATATATTAGTTCTTCTAAGCATGTTTACTTAATCAGAGCTTCGCCTGCTTTTTCAATGTGTTAAGCACAATTAATAATTATTTGATAATGAATTACGATGTACTGAAATTCTGACCATTCGTTAAATTTAAAAAAAATGTATCATAGTACGAATTATATGTGTGCATCGGTTATTTGTTTTAGAAAATTGGGTAACGCGTGGATGTTATTTCTTACGTATGCTACAGCTTAGAGAATTCAGGGCCCTTCAAATAATTTGATTAAGAAGAATATAATTTTGTATTTTTTATCTATTCAATTTTATTCTTGTTTTCTGTTGTACGAGTACCTAAGTATCATGTTAAGAAAAACAATACTTTTGTCTTATTAAATTCAATGACCCATTTTGAGCCCCATATCTATAGGTTTATCAGAAATATGGCACTCAAAACAAGCCAGATTCATAGCACACCAAATACATAGTAGCGTTGATAGCAACATCAGGGGGCCAATCGCCTAACTGGATTGCTTTGGAAAACGCTATCGCTTACGATTTCATTTTGTTATTTCTAGCCCCCTGAGGTTTTCAAATGCCTCGCGCTCTTTTTTTTTCTTTTGCATTGGTAATAACAATATTAAAGAAAATGAGCGTGAGGTATTTCGGCGGTTAGAAATAACAAAATGAAATCGTAAGCGATAGCGTTTCCAAAGCAATCTGGTTAGGCGATTGGCCCACAGATTAGGTCCGTTCACACGCGGACTGTCGCGCAACGCTTATGAACTTCGGCGGTAGTTTACGCTAGCTAACTATTGCCATTACAGAGTGGCCACTGGCCTAAACAGATATTCCGGGGCCACGGGCGCGGACAATGCTCGCAATCTACCACCAAAGCCAATGTACGCTGATTAGTTAATACCGAACTACCATTACCTCACATCGAGCCAACGAGCGGCCGGCCAGACCTGTTCTTGTATGCATAATCTGATTAACGTTTAAGTATTAAACAAAGCTTTACTAACAGGCGATTATGCGCTATTTGTTAACTAATCCAATGTAATTAAATCAGCAAGTCGATTCTGTAAGATACAAGATCACTTACGATCTGATTTATTTGGTTTTTTGACAATTATTGAAAAATATTGTCAATTACTGGCTATTGAACAGTCTTTCCGGCATTTGTGCCGTGTAATAGCATAACTCATGCATATGCTAAACCTAGAAGTGAGATTTTATTTTACAGAATGTCCCTATAGATCTAATTATAATTTAGTATAACGTTATTCTATTTGTAGGAACAAACATTATTTTTTAGTTCTTATGATTGTTTAGAACACATAAATTAATTAAACAAAACTGCTGCTTTTACTTCTACCAGAATCGATTAAGAAAATCAAATCCTGTCTGAGCGTCACTGCGTAAAACATTTGCTTGACACCAAAATCAAAAATCGTTTTAGCTCACCCTCTG